TGTTTTATGAATAATGAAAATTCATTTAAAAAAACAATTGTTGATTTTAAAGATAATGCTACACTTAAAATCATTTAATCTTATCAGATGTGTATTATAGCATGATCATTGCACATGCACAAAAACAAATAAAAATTTATATTTTATGTGTATGTATACAATGTAAAAATTTAAATTAAATAATAAATGTGTTAAATTTATAATTTTTGACTCTATGGAAAGGTATAATATTAAATATAAATTATTTAATTTACGTATAAATCTTTATATATTGACTGACATAAATTAATGGACAATGTAATTTGTATTAGAGGGGCATACAATTAATTAGTTGAAAAAATATTACAATTATTTTACTATTGGTTATAGCAATTATTTATGTGATTTTAAGGTGTTTAATTATGATAATACTCATGCCAATTAACTAATATTAGAGAAAAAGTGCCTAATTATAAGATGAAAAAATAATACGTATTGTAGAATAAGTATCTTAAAGAAAAAAATTACAATACAATTTTTTATAAGTATGTTACTTTCAGATATAATTTATTTAATGTAAATTTATAGTTAGTTAGTATTAATAGTAGTTATTATATAATAAATTAGTTTAAATTATTATAACACATTATTAATAAAATGTAACAATTCTACTAATTGAAGAAAATACAGAGAAACCTATAAATGTTTTATTAAGTAGGTTTTATTTATTGCTCTGTCAGCAATTATCTATATATATAGATGACACATCCCAAAATGCTCTCACCTCTCTCTAATCTTTCTCTAGAAACCCTCCCCCGCTTCACTTTTCCACTATTTTTCAGCTCCTCTTTCCGGCCACCATCTGCCCCTAGCTGCCCCGCCAGCCCCCGCCGTTGCTGGTGGCGAGCCATACGTCTGTCGGGTTGGCCATCTTGCAGCCCATGCCCTCCCCGTTTCCTCTTTTTCAAGGTCTTCCCCCCATCTTCTCCGGCGCCGGTCTCTTTGGCGCCTTCGATTTGCCATCTTCCACCGGATCTGACCTTCGACTTGTCCGATTTGATCTCATTGGAGGTGAAGAAAGCCCGTATGACCCTATTGTCGTCGTCTTCCTCTAACTTGGAGGAGGTAGAAATTCGTCCTCTAATCCCGGTAACCTGACGAGAAACATGTCCCTCGCCGTCTCCGTGGAGCCCCACCTTCAAGCCCCGACTTTGGTTGTCTCCGGATTTGGCAATTACGCAGTTGTCGGCATCTCTCCAGGTAGTCCCGCTGACCTCGCTCTTCAGGTGTTTGGTCGACTATCAACAGAAGATTGGACCCGCTGCCCGGTGATTTTCGGCTATCTGCCGTCGGCAAGTTTTGTCGGCCTGACCTCCTTGATGTCTTCTTCTTTTATCCAGACCTCACCCACTCATTTCCCTCAGCTCACAGATGACGTGGCTCACCAGACCAGGCCTCTTACCATATCCACTTTCTCCCCCAATATCTTGGTCGGCCTAGACCGTATTGAGCCTCCCCTAGGCCCAAATGGGCCTCAGTCAAGCCCATCCCACAGACTACCCTACCCTTTTTTATAGCCCTCACCACAGGCCCTAACCTAAACTAGCCCACACCTAGCCCACTTGTAACCCTAACACATATAGGCTCTTCGTCCATCTCCCACCCCCTCCGACCAGCTGCAGCATCTCCGACTGCCACCTCAGCCACTTTGTCGGTGACCACCATCGTTGCTCCGCCTCCGGCCGGCATCCCCAGCATCGGCGCCGGCCACCCCCAAGACATTGGGGGTGATGTTTCTTCGGCCAGTTTGCTTGGCCGTGTCCCCTCCCCTACGGCGGGCTTCTCTTTGGCGATGGCCGACAAGACAGGACAGTCCACCTAGGCTACCAATATCGGTCAGCCCCCGATGTTCAATCACGTGGGCTTCTCCATCCCCACTTCTTCGACGGACACTCTAGCCTTGGCTTCCACCCACCCCTGATCCTTTCCGGGTGTGATATCTGGCAATCCCGCCGGCAAGTCAGGCCACCAGAGACTTTCACCTGAGTATTTATGGGGCAAGCAACTGAGAAAGATCACGCCATCCGAGGAGGGTCGGTTTACGGTCAGTATCCTTGAGCCCGTTGTTTCTTCCTCAGTTGGGTCGTATGATAATGCTCTTATTTTGAAGTTTCCCTTCTCTGTCCACTACTTATCTGTTGGATTAGAAAAGTTGGATTTTAAGGGTAGACTTACCCCTAAGTACGTAAATTTCAACCATTACCTAGTGTTCTTTGACTTGAGAGAGGACTATAACGCATCATGGATCAAGAGGTATGTGAACGTCTGTGGGTGCTCTAGTCGGGTGTTCAAATACACCCCGACTTCTCCACATCGGTTGAGTCACTCATTATTCCAGTCTCGTGTTGTCTCCCATGCCTTATGCCTCATTTTTTGATCCTGCCATCCTCATCTCGATTGCCAGCTGTATTGGCAATCAGATTGACGTTGATGCCGCTACAGCTAACCATATGATGTAATCCGTCACACGGGTGTGCGTTGAGGTAGACTTTCATGGTGAGCTCATTGAAGAGATTGAGCTAAACCAAGGAGGGAGGACCACCATCGAAAATGTGGTCTATGAGAGAGTTCCGCCTTTCTATACTCTCTGTGACCATGTGGGTCACGTCACAACTGACTGCTACTCCAGGGGCAACAAGTCCTGGCTGTCACTTTCCCCTAGTCGCCGCGTGGTGAGGT